GCTCGACCGGAGAAGGACCACCCTCTCACAGAATATCGGCGTAAAATAGCAGCTTAATGCTGTTAAGTTTCGTATGGTGAGTGTGGAGAACCGGAGACCCGTTTTACTAGAATCGAGGCATTCCATCTTAGTCCTCAAGGGCGACAACGCTCCGCATTTTGATTTTTAATCGAGGTTAAAACTTTTTTATACATGAGGGGGGCAAACGAGCATGCATGCGGGTGTGTCACCTGATGTTAAGTGACTACCGCCGCCCATGATCAACCGCAACACCAGGGGATTTGCAGGTGCGTTGACAGCCCTTTAGAAAGGAGTAAGCTCTTTTCTTGAAGGGGGATCTCGTCGAAGATCGTATCGGTCTGGAATAATCGCCGGTGGTAAACTAGTCCGAAGAGAGGTCGTACGCGGAAAAAAAACTCCTTGTGAAACGTACAGTGGTATACTGCCAAGCATCCAGATGGTGTATATGGTATTGGAACTTTTACCGCGTAGTGCGTTCACGAAATTTGGGGGCTGGAATTAATCCGAACAATTCCTCAGAGCACTCCCCCATGGTGTATGCGAAAGAAAATACAAAAAGATTCAACATCTCTTCGCAGCGCCAATGAATCGAGCCGATCGTAAAGCACTCGGTCGTCAACGATTCGAGCCGCTCTGAGCTGGATGCGGTCAAGTGAAAGGAGCTGGCATTGGGGACCCCAGCCCAGAGTTGGGAACAGTATGCCATTGTGCGGCTGAACCTGCAAATTGTAAAGTTGCAGGCGGTGTGCCAGCATTAAATACTGTAAATGTGGATGTCACAACATCCACTTAAAATCAGGTGGACTGTGTGCTCGCTTGTCACCTTTAATCTATAAAAAAAACTCGTGATACTTTAGCTATTTAAATTTGGTAACACAATTCTTCCGACAAATCAGCTGATTTTATCTCCTCAAAGTGAATTGAATAGCGTTGTAAATCACCATCTACCGAAAAAATAATGGACTAAAACATATTAATTGATAGATTGACCATAGATGACAAGATAAAATGCATATTTTTGTTAGACGAGTATAAACAACAGATGGCGAAAACTAAAAAATAAAAATATTTTAATCGATTTTACAAGTAAAGGAAAGACTATAAAATGTCAAAAATTTGTTTTGAATGCAAGGAAGAAATAACAAAAAAGGGAATTTATTGAGGTGATTATTCTGGAATCGTCCTCTATCCTGTCGTCCATATTATTAAGTGATTATTAGTGATTTTGTTTAATATGTAGTTAATTATCAATTCTATTGATTACCGCCGTAATTTGAAATAAGCACGAGATTCGTAATTTTGATATTTTTTACGAAACAATTGGATAAGAATAAAAACCTCATTAACTACGTCCTCACTACCTTTGTTTACCGTCGTTTTTTTAGCGATGGCGATGAGGTCAAAACGATGACAATTAGAATCAATTTTACGTCAATTTATTATTATTTATTACAGTGCATTATTGCATTGCAAACCGTGTGGTTGCGAGTTCTAGTCCCACCCGTAGTTGAGATTTTTTTTCTGCAATAATACTACTACGATACATACATACATAAACACTCACGCCTGTCACCCAGAGGGGTAGGTAGAGACTACAGACTTCCATTTAGCACGATCCTGACATACCTCTCTCGCCTCTTCCACATCCATATACCTACGCATACATGCTCGTCGGTTAAGGGTACTCATAATTTGGCCCATTTTTAGTATATCGCCAATTTGGTCGACAAACTTCTGCCTAGGACGTCCCGCTCATCCCCTTTCCGACTCTTCCATTCACTTCTGCAACATATATTTGCTTTGTCAGTCTTTCCGCATTAATTCTTTCTACATGTCCAAACCACCGAAGTATTCCTTTCTTAATCCTGGTCACCACATCATTTTGCAAACCACACTCTTCTTTTATCACACAGTTTCTCACCCTGTCACTTAGATTCAGCCCTAACATACTCCATAGCGACCGCATTTCTACTGCATTTATTCTACTCTCGTGTTTCTTCTGCCACACCCAAATTTCACTACCATACGTTAAAGTAGGGACTAATACAGCACTGTGAATTGCCATACGTGCCTTTTTTGACACATTCTGACTTTTTACAATAGAGTGTAGAGCCCCATTTACTTTATTTCCTGCATTCACTCGTCGTTCAATATCCTTATCATATCTCCCATCCCTGCTGAATACACATCCCAAATATACGAACTCATCCACTTGCTCAATTAACTCTCCTTCTATTCATATTTCATATACCGTTTTGCTTTCATCTCTTTCAAAAACCATCACTTTCTTCTTACTTGCGTTCACTTTAATTCCCCTTTCTTTTAATGACCTGTTCATTAATGTAACCATCATTTGCAACTTGGCCGCCGATGACGCACGTATGACTTGATTATCGGCGTACAAAAGGCATTTGATGGTTGTTTTTTCTTTTCTTTTCTATTTCCCCTGACATGGGAGATCAGGGACCTTTCGCTCTTTTTTGTTTATTCGTCAATGTTCTTTTTGACTTTTACTTATTTTTGTTTGTATTTTGATTACATTATTTTATTCCTTATCTCTATCCCTTACTGCTATACATGTTGCTTTACATATTTTTCTACCACCTTTATTATTTAATTATTAACATTTTCTTTATTTATCAATTTCTATTTATTTTGGGACTTGGTTATATATTCTTACATACATATTCAAGTCCCCTATATTATCTACTTATTTGTATCTATAGCTATTTTCGCGATACGCTTACAATATTTTATAAATTTGGCTCTATTTACTTTGTCTTTCATTATTACGTGAATTTCCTCTCCATTTATTTTTATTTTAGCTTCCAATTCTAACTCTTTTCTCATTCTATAATTTATGGGGCACTCTGCAATGAGGTGAATTATGGTCTCTACCCGTTCCCCATCACAAGTGCATGTGGGGCTCTCCTTGCATTTAAAACGGTACAGATACTCGGAGAACTCCCCATGTCTTGTTAGTACCTGCGTCAAGAGTGGGTCTATTTCGATTTTTCTTACTATGCAGTAAGTACTGAGAGCGTCCGGAAAGAAGATCTTGGTGGTGGCGGCCGTAGTTGATTCTCTATATCTCCTGTTCCATACGCCAAGCGAGTCCGTCCGGATTTGTCGCTTGATGAATGAAATCGGACATTTGTCATAAAACGGTTTTGTTTTAATCCTCAGTGTGGATTCCTTTGCTAAGATGTCAGCCCTTTCATTTCCCTCCACCCCCACGTGAGCTCTGACCCAATGCAGAGCAAGTGATTTTTGTTGATCTTTTAATTTACTTATATTTTTCCTTGCCATAACCGCCAAGGAGTGAAGGGAGTCGCCCCGGGTGATCGTCTACAGAGCCGATCTGGAATCACTATATATGTTGCAACTTCGTGCAGAAGATAGAACTGCATATTTGGTAGCCTCAAGCAGGGCCAACAGTTCCGCCTGGTAAACGGTGCAAAAGTAGTCCAATTTAAGTTTTCTCGTACTCGTTTCCGCTGCGCTGTCCCAGATGGACAGCGCCGCACCCACTTTTCCCTCGATCTTACTACCATCAGTAAAGATACTGAGTTCGGTGTTATTTGTTTGAACCACTTGTGCACCGTCACCCAGACATATGAACTTCAGCCCCACCTGGTCCGCAGGATGCGGCAAATTTATATAAGCTTCCATTACTTCAAGATCCCGGTCGGTTAACTCACCCATTCATAATCCGCATTCTTCAGCATTCAAATTTTGCAAACAACTGTCCATAAATAGGTTGAACAGCCACGGGGAAGCTACACAGCCCTGTCTGACACCCTTATGGATGCCAAACCAGTCCGAGTAGACCCCATTGATCCTGACACTAGCACTCGATTCCCTATACAGAGACTTTAATGCCTGTATCAAACCAGCGCTCAACCTAAATGCTTTCAGCGTTTGCCATAACACATCCCTATCCACTCTATCATAAGCCTTTTCCAAGTCCATGAACGCACAAAAAACTTTTTGGTTTTACGCCAAAAACTTCTCCGCGATCATGCGCATGGAAAAGACTTGATCTGTACACCCCATTCCCTTTCTAAATCCCGCTTGCACATCCCAAATTTTTTCATCAGTTTCTTTCATAACTCTTTCAAATAGTACCTTAGCATACAGTTTTCCCACAATGCTAAGAAGGCTGATACCACGGTAGTTTTTACAGTCGTGCTGTGACCCTTTTCCCTTATATATTGGGACTATCACGGCTTTGCACCAGACTCCCGGTACCCGCTTTAGTTCCCAACATAAATTAAACAAGGTGTACAGCACGCCTGCTACCTCTTCCTATCCAGCCCTTAGCATTTCGAGTGAAACTCTATCATATCCGGCTGCCTTACCTACTTTCATGCTTTTTATTGCTTTCATTATTTCAATCTATACTTATCTCCCTATCTCTTTCATTGCCTCACATACATTCAACGTAGCCGGACGGGCCTCTGCAAACCACTTTTCGCCTCTCTGGGAGACAGAACGTGACGGCTGGCGAACCTCGTCGCCGATACTACGATACAGTTATAATAATACTTTAATTGATAATAAAATAAATAATTAATAGTTTTTACTTTGTTTCTTGATGTAGTTTTAAGTTTAACAAGTAAGCCAACCTTATGACTGTACTTTTTGTTACTTTAGTTATTAACCTTTAACTACCGACCTATACGTCTCACAGACGTAATAAATTTTCATTTCAAAATATTTCTAAAATCACGCCACCGTTAGCGCCGCCCTTCCCGCTACCTTCCTCCCTCCGCGTCACAAGCCATCAGTCAACGCTGCGCCGGCGGCGATTGCACACATCTCCGTATTGAAGCGATCGACGTCTCACAGACGTAAGCACGGTGTTTATGTACTAAATTTCGTACGTCTCTTGGTCGTCACCTCGGTATTCATGTGTGGTAGCTTATAGTGTCTGATTGACGTCACATCGGCTTTAAAATTATACTTTTAATCGCAGAATGCCTAAAAGGAGAAACGTCACGTCTAGTGAGCAGAAAATACCTGCAAAAGATGATGGTTCAGTTCCCGAGAGGCCTCTGAAACTTCGAAAACAGAATAGGCCCTTAGAAGATAAAGAGATATGTGAAAATCTTACAAACGAGAGTGACGACAACTGTAGTGATTTTGACGACGATGTAGGCGATCCTGATTTTATTTTAGAGAGCGATCACAACACGGAATCTGAACAATCCGATGAGGATGATGTTGACGTCACGTATCCCCATGTTGAGGAAGTTCACCACGGAGAAATCAACCATAATCACGACAATGAAGAACAGGAAAGAGAAGTACGAGCTCATGGAAGCCAGGACATTACAGAACAGATCGGAAAAGAGACAATAGTCGGAGAGAAACAGCATGGCGCAGCAGAGACTAGAATTGAAGAGATCGGAGAGGAGCAGTATAGCGAAGTAGAGACGCGAAATGACCAGGGTAGTGAAGATCTTAGAATAGACCAGGAGCCAAATGAAGAATCAACAGGAGAGCTGCCGCGCTATTTTTACGGGAAGAATAGGTACAAATGGGCATCGGCGGAACCATCCCGAACAAGTCGAGTACGCGTGCACAATATTGTCAATGCACCATCTCAAGTAAGTCCGTTTGAATTTGAATCTTTCACGGAATTATGGAAACTGATGTTTAGTGATCACATGATTGAAATGATAGTAACTTATACAAACAAGAAATTAGATAGCTATAGGGCTAAGTATAAAGACAGTAGCAGATCTGAACTAGGCTCAACGAATGAGACAGAAATAAAGGCTTTAATTGGGCTATTGTTTTATACATCAGTATTCCAATCAAATCACGAAAATTCAGACTTTATTTTTGCAACAGATGGCACAGGACGGGATATTTTTCGCTGCGTTATGTCCAAAAACAGATTTCTGGTCTTGTTAAACTGTTTGCGTTTTGATAATACTCAAACAAGATCTGAACGATTAAAAGACGATAAACTTGCCGCTATTTCAGAGTTATTTCATGAGTTCATCAGTAATTGCCAGAAAAATTACACTTTGGGTCCTTACATTTGTATAGATGAAATGCTTGTAGCTTTTAGAGGGCGCTGCAAATTTAGAATATATATGCCAAACAAGCCAAATAAATATGGATTAAAAGTTCTCCTGCTGGTTGACGCTCAAAGTTTTTATATATACAATGCTTATGTATATTATGGCACAGGATCTGATGGCCATGGTCTAAGTGATGCAGAGAAACGCTTTTCAATTCCCACACAATCTGTTCTACATCTTTGTAAAGGAATCGATGGCTGTAACCGAAATATAACAGCAGATAGAGACTGGTTTACCTCGATAGAACTACTGCAAGCACTGAAAGATCGTGGATTTACTTACTTGGGCACTATGAAGAAAAACAAGAGGGAGATCCCACCAGAATTTCAGCCTCACAAAGATAGAGTGGTTGGTTCTTCGTTATACGGATTCACCAAAGACAATACTATTCTGTCTTACGTGCCTAAGCCTAAAAAAGCTGTATTACTGGTGTCGTCTGTGCACCATATCAAAGAGACTGATTCTGCAACTAATAAGCCTATTATGATAATTGACTATAGAAGGAGGGGTGGATGAGGTGGATAAGAAATGCTCGAATTACTCGTGCTCTCGAAGAACTCGACGTTGGCCTATGACTTTGTTTTACAGGTTGATAGATATGAGCGGTGTTAATACGTATGTATTGTACAACAAGTGCACAAACAAGGGCGACATAAGTCGTGGCCGATTTTTACTCCTGCTGGCTCGTGAATTAGTACTCCCGGAAATGAAATTACGCGTCTACAATGAGAGAATCCCACGGGAATTGCAGCTAAGTATCGAGCGAGTTATTGGACCCGCCGATATGCCCGAGCCTCCACCACCAAAAACTTACCAGGATCCAGATTCAGGTGTTAGAAGAACACGTGCAACCTGTCCCAGTCGGTTGAAAAGGCGAACGAAGTACTGTTGCTGCAAATGCAAGAAACCAATGTGCCTTACTTGCTGCCACAAATATGCATTGACTGCAAATGTACGTAGTGAATGTACCAAATATTCGAGGGCTGTCATTTTTTTTATTTTTTAACTAATAAGTAAGATTTATGTTTTATTTTGATAATAGTTTATAGAAGATAACATATTTTAAGTTAATTTGTTGTTAATTACTTAATTTTAGAGAAAAAGAAGACTGAAGTAAGTCCTTAAAATTTATTGCCAAATAATTGAGATCACTCGAATAAATGTTGATTTTACCAGAAAAATAGCGTGATTTTTTTTTTATTCTGTAGTTTGTCACCTCAAACAACAATTTTTTTTTAATGTATAAAATAGAAAAATGTAGCACGAAAATACACATTTTATTCAAGTACTTAAAGTTTGACGTCTCTCAGTCGTCACGTCGGCGTAAGTGCTACGTTTAGACCAGGTCGGCAGCTAAAGTTTAAGGATGAGCTTGATATGATGAATATGAGCAATATCATATAATGTGTTGTTACAGATTATTAAGAACTAATAATGCCGAAGAAAGCCAGACAAACATTAGAGCGATTACATATGATCGATTACAAAAACAAAGAAAGTATGCAGAAATTAAGGAAGATCCTGAAAAGTATGCGGATATGAAGGCAATAGAAAGAGCAAGATACCTTAAAAGAATAGAACGGAAAAAATAAGTAGCGCAAAAGATATGACACTTAGACAATTGAGAGTACAGAGGAAGAAGTGGAGAGTTAATTCAAAACGTCATTATGAAAGAAAAAAGAAAGAGAAAGCTATTTAACAGTTGTTAATAGATAATTATCCACCAAATAGTGACAATGAAGTACATCCAGCTGAACAAGATCCTCTCACTCAATCAGCTCTAAGCCCCATACCTAATTCATATCTAAATCGTTTGGATTACGGTAATATTAATTCTTGTTAAGGGTACCAAGGGGGTAAAGAAATATTTTCTTCTGAGAAAGGTTCACACACACCTACATAAAAAAGAAATAGGCATTTTGAAACAGGAGATAGAAAAGACGAAGAAACGGAAAGATGGCATTAGAAAAATGTTGTATAGAATAATGGAAAATAAGAAGAAAAATGAAAATATATCGACTGAAGAAAAAGTAGAACAATTGGTAGAAAATTTTAATACACAAAAGTGTGAAGAAATTAAAGAGCTAATGTTTGGTGAAATACCTTCAAAAAGTGTTGAAGAAGGGTACAAGTGCTTGAGAAAAAAGGATAAGAAAGAATTCTCTAATGTGGTTATGACGGAAAAAGAAAAGTTTAAAAAATATAAACTCTTGACACCAGCAAAAATATTTACAGTAAGAAATAAAAAAGAAAATAAGACAGCTAAAAATGAAAACTTGAAAGAGCAGCTAATTTTAGAGTTTTTTGACGATGAGGAGGTGACTAAAATTGCAGCTGATAAAAAAAGAATATATAACAAAAATCCAAATAAGGTAGCAGAAAAGATACTTAATGGACATTGACTAATTTGTACAAAAAAATTACGCATAATTCGAATGTCAAAGTAACGTATCAAAGATTTAGTAAATATCGCCCATTTTGAGTTTTATACCCAAAGGAGTCCAGTAGAAATACATGTTATAAAAATAAAAAATAAAAATATAAATTTCTTCGCAACCTTCCGCCAAACAAATACAATGATGTGTCTTACCTGGATTGAAGTTAATTGATAGAATCAGGCGTTACTTTGCGGAAATCCATTATAATAAAAAATAAAAATATAAATTTCTTCGCAACCTTCCGCCAAACAAACACAATGATGTGTCTTAGAAATACATGTGCTTGCAAAGTTCATATTAATCTAGATTTGTTGATAAAATGTCTTAATACAAATAAAATACTAAAAGAATCTAACAAGAAGGGTGTTTTAGAAAGCTTATGTTGCGAAGTCTACGATGAAAATCCCTCATCATCCCTTCACTAAACGACTCAATATCATTCCCCTCCTTGACGTTCTCATAACCGTTTCATTACGATTTTTGATTTGATAGTAATTTTATTGTTATTTATACAAGGAAGGTAGAAACTACAAAAAGTTGAAGGATTTTATGGATATTAAAGATATTGAGGTAAAAAACGAAGTTATTCGGCAATAAATTTGATATTCACAAAAGTCGTGGAATTTGCACTAAATACGCGAAACACCCATTTATTATTTTGTTTTGTGATCAGGAACTGCTTTATTCTATTACCTCTTACTAAACTGAAAAAATGATGTATAAAACAAATAGTTATTAAATGAAATATGTGATTGATATTATATTTGGTATATATGCATGTAAATACTCGTATAAAGTGTTGCGTATAGCTTAGCTTAAAGCGTCTTCACTCCCATACACAATCAAGTGCACAGTGCACTGCCATTGTCATTACTTTACCAGGCACTAATTGATTATAGAAAAAAACATACTCCCGTCGATAACACATAATATGTATTATGCCCTAAAATGAGGCATCCTAAAATCATCTTAAAACAGAAACCTGAACTTGGGGGGAACGGTTTTTGATATTTATATATTATTCGACGTTTAATTTACCGAACGGAGTTTGAACACGCCACTCTGTTTATACGCTTAATACCATGTTTCATACCCTACAATCATAAATATACAAAGGTATATAAGGAGAAATTTTATGCTTACATGCAATAATAGTTAATCAATGCTGCTTTTTTACTTTAGATGTAAGAAAAACAAAGCTACAACAGGATTTAAGTAATAATTTATATTTAATAATGTAAACAGATACGGTTTATTACTACATAGATAAGAAAAAAACTCAATATAACCAAGCACTAGTGCCATCTTAATTCGTAAGTTAGCGTTTCATGGCGTTTCGGCGTGGCGTTAGAGTCACTGACAAAATTGGCTACATCTTGAAGCGCGCTTCCATCGAAACATACTTCAAGCCGCCGAAGAAGATTGGTCAGTTTTTACCATCAGTCAAGTGTAACGTCCCTCTGCAAGATGCAGGAGTTTACAAGCTTGATTGTGAGTGTGGTCTCTCCTACATAGGACAAACTAAAAGATCAATTAAAACCCGCGTTAAAGAACATATAGCTGATGTGAAGAATCGACGCTCCGGGAAGTCTGCAGTCTGTGAACACGTACAGGATCGCCCCCGTCACTACATCAGATTTGATAGACCACAAATCCTCGCTAAAGAACACCGATTCCTTCCAAGGATGATTCGCAAGGCTATTGAAATCAAAAAAACATCCTAATTTCAATAGAGAAGATGGCTGGGTGCTGCCATCTGATTGGGATCCTATAATAAATAAAATTAAATCCCAACCGAAGCATACAACTGCAAGACTTCAAGATACCATAAGTTCATACTGTGTAGATCGGAACAAAAGTTAAATTTTTATCTATGGTAAACGCTGTTAACTATGAAATTTGGACGTTGAACATCTCAGTCCTCCCCTTGACCATGGGTGCTGTAAAACGCTCGAAACGTCGGGTATTTATAGTTAAATATACGCGATAAAATCCGTAAAAACTAGTATTATTTCAATGTGTAGTGTTCGCGTAAATATAAGAAATCATTATGTCACCCCATTGTTCATTTACTAACCAACCGGTAGCTGTATGCTTGTTTGCCGCTTTTTATAAAAAATAATAACTCTAGATAAAAGTCATGAATGTTTTTAGAATATTTGTTACTCCAGTTGCAAAGTCTATGGAGTGCAGTCCATTTGAACAATCACACGCACTTGTAAAGAACGTAGCCGCACACCGGCCACTATTGGGAAGTTCGTACATTTTTTAATGACCACTTGTAATTTTTAGTATTAAGTAAATCTTATATTTTTATAGTTTTATACTATTGAAAATATTCACTTGTTTGCAGATACGTTTCATTAATTAATCATTACAGCTTATTAGCATTTCATGACATCCCCCATGGATTGTATAACAGGGATGTTTACCAAAGTTGCCACTCTTGGAAAGCGGATTGAGGGAAGTTCTTTTACTTCTACTATTACTACGACTATTATTAAATTTTATAAGAATTATTTTTTTAAATTAATGATAAAAAATTAACAGGAGCTTCCATTCTTTTGTTTATTGCTTCTAATAATTTCTTTCTTTCCTTAATCTTTGAATTTATTTTAAGGGTAGATATCTATGTTTTCAAGAGGAATTGTTTAGCAAGGTCTTCTGTCCGGTACATTACCACGATGACAAAAGCGAGAGACAAAAAAATTTTGTCGTTTCCACTCTATTGCTTTAAACGAGATTTAAGTATCAAGCCCTCATTTTCTGCAAAGAAAAATTGTTCCATTTATTTCTTAGAAATATGCTACTGCGAAGTTATTACAAAGAAACAAGTTTACAAAGCATATTTTGAGTTTTTTTTTTACATTACATATATTTTTAATAGAATATGGGTGACAAACGAGCTCATAGTCAACCTGATTGTAAGTGGATGATTTTGCCCATATACATCTACATCAATCCTCGACTAAGAATCAAAATGCAAATGCATTTCCGCCTCTGAGAACAAAGATGAAATGCCTCGTTTTCAGTAAAAGGGCTCTCCGGTTCTCTACACTTACCATTAGAAACACAACAACATTATGCCTCTCTTTCGCACTGGTATTCTGCGCAAACGTGGTGCGTCAAATATTGGTACTTGTATCCTGCAACTATAGTAACACGATGACGTGGAAAGATATACAGTGTTAAGTAAAATTAATTTATAAGCGTTAGTAGTGTAATGGTAGGGTGCAGACCGGGAACTCAAAGGTCGTGGACCCGAATACGGCATCCAATCCGTAACCGTAACCATTTTAACCTCTCAAAGGTCAAGCGTCCAAAGGGGGATGCCCATTTTCGGCCATGGAACGCCCAATAATATGCATTTGTAAAAAAAAATCTTTATTTATGGTTATTAATCGCGGTATTCATTTATCCTAAAAAAGATGGGAATATTTTTGCACAAATTAAAAGTACCGAAAAGATAAAAAATAAAATTAGGTAAATCATGAGTTCATTAGTTTGTGAATAAAATAAAGTATTGCCAATCACAAATCTCATTAAAAAAATCGATCCCCCTTTTCGATCGATTACTTATGGTGTCATTATTACAACGCTAATATAATTTTTCGATAATTATTATGATGTTATGATATAGGTTTAAAACAACCGTTGACAATGGATATTTATCCAAAGCAGCCGATACGCAACCGTTATCAACCAGTTGTTTATCAGACTACAGACGAAAAAGGATGGTTAAGTTTTTACTGTTTGTGCGGGTTAGGCTATGTTGAATCTTTTTTTGCTATGGTGCTTAGAAACGTAGGATGTATTTTTTATAGAGGGCGCTACTATCAAAGAATATTTTTTTCGCTAAACTCGTAAAGTACTTGACCATCATTGAGAATTCTTTCACCACTAGATTGTTATGTATAATTTTAGATATCTAATACAGGATGAATTTTATTACAGAGGGCGCTACGAGGGCAGCACTGAAATTTTCTGGAATCAAGGAAGTGACATAACATTACTATTTAAAAATGTATTTATTGCTTTTCGAAGTATTCTCCGCGAAATTTGACACATTTTTCTATACGATTCAACCAATCATTGAAGCAACCATTCCATTTGGAAGTTGGGTCTCCAAAATGGCCGTTTTGTAGGCGTCCACAGCTTCTTCAGGTGATGAAAATCTCTGACCACGCAATTTGTTCTTTATTTTAGGGAAAGTAAGGAAATCATTGGGGCTAAGGTCGCGGCTGTACGGCGGATGGTCTAATAATTCTATGTTTTCTTGCTCTAAAAACTTGTTTGTTCTGTGTGCGGTGTGAGAACTCGCATTGTCGTGATAGAAGATGATGCGGCGGTTGAAGTTCTCTTTACGGAGTTCAGAAACGACCTGTGGCAAACAAATGCTAGTATAACATTCTGCATTAACCTATATTATGTTAAGAACATATAAGAAATGCTTTATAAATGAGTTTACTGAATAATATCAATATATTAATTGTAGCTTCCTTATTAGGTACAAGTTTCGAGTACAGTGAACGTGTAGTGTGCCACTCGCAAAAGGCACCAATAGTTCGTCTTGAACAATACATCAGCTGTGGTACTGACAAACAACTTATGAGAATAAGATCACACACATTGTTTGGGTTCGAGGAACAATTTGCGCCACATGAGGTAAGTGTTTAACATTTTTCAATTTATTAAGTATGATGCTCATATTTGATAATTATACATGTTTTACACCGATTGTATATGAACTCAAGAACTTGTTTTATTTTTTCACATCTGCACAAGCTATATTTGACAAACATACTAGCTTATTTATGAGATTGACCATTTTTATCAATCAACAAAATCAACTGTCTCCTTATTTGGTATAAGGAGACAGTTGATTTTTCATTGTTTTTGGACTGCTGGTAGTCTGTCAGGTCTTAATTATTAAATAATATATGGAATTAAGTCCATCCTTATGC